TATGTACTCTTGCTTTGTCAATATTTTTCATCCAAATTTTTACTTTTGTACAGTTTGATTAATATTTTTTTACTTTTGATCACCTGATTATATTTTTATTGAAAATAAAGAAAATATTCTTTTAGGGAAATATATTTTTATTTTTTAGATAATTCACTACTCTTTCTATCTCATCACTCCATCTACTTATCAATAAAAAATAGATAAGTACAATATTTTTTAGATCGAAAATAAAATTAAATAAATACATTTAATTGACATTTTTTATTCAAATAATTTTTAGGCAATTTAATTGTCTGAAATTTATTTTATTTTTATGTAAATTCCATACTTACAATGAAATATATCCGAAATTTTACATTTTTCTACATGACACCATTATAGCCTTTGATTTTCCAAACACTTTTCACATCACAATTCAAATTATGCCACGTAGGAAATAATGTCATATAAGATGTTCACAAGAATGTACATCTAACGAAAAAAAAAAAAGGGTTAACAAGGTATGAGCCTGTAATGCTATCTCCGTTCAACCAATTCATATAAAAGTTTTAATGGAGATCTATTTAACTTGGAACAAAGTTTCAAACACAAAATACATATAAAAAAGGGGGAAAAACTAAAAACTTCGTATAATTCTTTTTTTCCCCTTCATTTTTCAGTGGGAAAATTTCATACCAAAATGAATAAGTATAACACATTTCAAAATTAAGAAACAAGATTTAAAACTTAAAAAATCTGATAATAATTAAATTTTATTTATGAAATAAATAATTAAAAATATATCTCATTAATTAAATATATTGAGGTCACAATATTATACAATTTGGTCATAAATTATCGAATTAATTGATTACAAAAAAAATTTCATCACAAATTACAATTTTATGAGTCACAAGCTTATTTCTTGATCACAAATTTATCAAATTAATATATCACATATTATTCCTTGATCACAAATAAAAAAAAAATTATAAGTCAATGATCACACAATATCAAATTAGTTAGTCAAAAATTATCAAATTATTAGTCACAATTTATCACATTTTTAGGTCACACATTATTTATTGATATTAATCACAATTAACCAAATAATTTGTGACCACTCCTCTAACAGATCATCGCCACCATAACCACCTCACAACAATCGGCATTAACACCAACTTCACCATCTCAAACAAACCAATTGCACCACCATGACCACCATCTACACCATATCCACCACCATTTACACTATCACCTACACCACCATCTTTACCATCGCCTGATCGTCGAACACATCGCCTACGCCACTATCGAACACTATCGCTTGCATCACCATGGCCGCCCAAATAAATGGTCATAAACTCTCTCTCTCTCTATCTCTCTCTCTAATGCACACAGTCACCACCTTGCACCGCACACCACCACTACCATCAAAATCATCGTCTATCTAACAATACTCGTCTCCATCGCCCACTACCACTAGATCTGCCACCATTGCCATTAACAAAAACCATCACCACCATCATTCACAACGCGAGTTGCCTTTGCCACCATAACACCATCACCATCCACAAATGCACTGAGTCCAACATAGACCAACAACTGAAGCCGAATCATAGATCGTTATAGGGATGTCGTCGCAGCGACGACGCATTGCTCGATCTGCGATGACAGCTGCTGATGGCGGTGTTCGATGAGGTAGAGAGAAAGAGAGTTATAATAGAAAAAGTGAGAATTGATTGAAAATGATGAAGGAAATGAATATTAGGGATTGGCGGTGTGGGTACATAATTAATTGAATTTTATAATACTATTATTTAATAATAAAAATTATATCATCATCTTATTTTTGTATATGTACACTATCATTCTGATTTTTGAAATGCAATATTTAAAATTAGGCTTCTATGTATTTCCCACTTTTTCAGTTGCGGTAGGCCCAACTGACCATAACTCTCTCCGCCACTGTTGGGGAAAAATACAGTCCCTATTTAGTTCAATTTAAAAATAAGATTAAATTTAAGTCCAAATTAATAATTAATTGAAATAAAATATTTCAAGGAATTCATTATACATCTAATCAGTTTCAATTAAAATTTACTAAAAGTTTAATTTCTTTTTTCCAAACTAAATAGGGTACATCTATTTGATTATTTTTTAATGCAAGATTATTATTTTTTTCTCTTGAACTCTTTTATCTAATTCATCAAGAATTTTTAGTCCCACAGCTAAGATTAAGGATTCAAGGATTGATATTTACCTCTTCTTTACATCTTGCTCGTATAAACGCGAGTTGCCTTTGCCACCATAACACCATCACCATCCACAAATGCACTGAGTCCAACATAGACCAACAACTGAAGCCGAATCACAGATCGTTATAGGGATGTCGTCGCAGCGACGACGCACTGCTCGATCTGCGATGACAGCTGCTGATGGCGGTGTTCGGTGAGGTAGAGAGAAAGAGAGTTATAATAGAAAAAGTGAGAGAATTGATTGAAAATGATGAAGGAAATGAATATTAGGGATTGGCGGTGTGGGTACATAATTAATTGAATTTTATAATACTATTATTTAATAATAAAAATTATATCATCATCTTATTTTTGTATATGTACACTATCATTCTGATTTTTGAAATGCAGTATTTAAAATTAGGCTTCTATGTATTTTCCACTTTTTCAGTTGCGGTAGGCCCAACTGACCATAACTCTCTCCGCCACTGTTGGGGAAAAATTACAGTCCCTATTTAGTTCAATTTAAAAATAAGATTAAATTTAAGTCCAAATTAATAATTAATTGAAATAAAATATTTCAAGGAATTCATTATACATCTAATCAGTTTCAATTAAAATTTACTAAAAGTTTAATTTCTTTTTTCCAAACTAAATAGGGTACATCTATTTGATTATTTTTTAATGCAAGATTATTATTTTTTTCTCTTGAACTCTTTTATCTAATTCATCAAGAATTTTTAGTCCCACAGCTAAGATTAAGGATTCAAGGATTGATATTTACCTCTTCTTTATATCTTGCTCGTATAAATTAAAAGAAATCTTTTTTGTTTTTCTAACTTAGATAGAAAAATAAATAAATAATCACATCTAAATTCTTATTATTATCAATTGCTCCACAACGTGGCACCAAAGTATTTTATGACGACATGTTTGACAAGATGGCTTACAAAGAAAAATTTAAAATTTAATTGTATTTAATACTTCTTAGTTCTTACTAAATGTAGCCTCTTCATATGTTTGATAAGGATGATCAGGTAATATCGTAGGAAAAAAGAGAGATTAAAACATCGCTGTCGTGTCTTCTTAAATAATACGCAAACCGAATTTCTTGTAGTTGGCAAATCTTTTCTCATTGTAATGACATTGGGAGTTGATTATTTTTCACATTGCTTGCACATTCATTGTATCTAGACACTACACTAATGCCCATCTAATCAATGTGGTAGGTTAAAAACTTTCTACTTGCTTCTACATTAATGGCGTGTTTGGACCCCATTTTTTAAAAGAGTGGATTTTGTAGTAGCGATTTTGAGAAGAATGTGTGTTTAAAAAGTGGAGAAAATTTATGATTTGCATGTAAAAATATTATTTAAAAAATATGATTTAATATGAGTTTAGAAAAAAGTAAGTTTTATGTAATAGGGCTCAAATAGGGAGCTTAATATACCAAGACATACTTTTCACAAAAATCAAGATAAAAATAGAATTTGGATGCTCCATATATCCAATAAAGATAAGTTTAGGGCCTGTTTGTGTCCCTTTAATTTCAAAAAATGTATTATGGAATAGTGATTGATGTGAAAATCTGTGATTAAAAAAAAGGAAATTTTTTATTTATGAGTAATATTATATTAATGAAGAATGTGTGGTTAAATGAGTACCGTAAAAAAAATGTGGTAGAATGATTAACAAATAAAGGCTTAATTTAATTTTAACAATTAAGAAAATGTGATTAGCCTCATTTGGTACAAATTAAAATCTAAATTTTAATCTAAATCAAAATCAACAATTAATTTTAAAAATATATTTCATGGGACCCACAAACTTTTCAACTACACATTCAATCAACTTTTATCAAAATTTACAAAAAATCTTATTTTAATCTCAACTAACGTGGGTTTAATATAGTTGAAAATATAAATTTTAATTACATTTTCCTAATATACCATTACATTAAATAATTATTTAAATAAAAGCAATTCATATTTGTTAATAACAAAACACATTAAATATGGACATATTAGAAAACTAAAAAATGAACTATATTCTCAATAAGTAAAGTAACATATAATTTAGGACAAAAAAAGAAAAAAGAAAAACAAGTCTATTTTTATGGGACAACAAATGTAATTGTTAAATTTCAAGTTCAAAATTTCATTATGAGAGATACTAAACAAGCCTTGAAAGATACCCGTCTGATTCTTTTCACAGGCCAAAAAACGTTAAAATTTTAATCTAAAAAAATGGCAATCGAAAATTTTGAAATATGTAAAGATCTCAAATTTTATTGTCACATAGTGCACGTTCAAGGTTTTATTTAAAAAAAAAATGACTCATGCAAACACAGAGTGTAGTAAAGATAAATAAAATGGTACCAAATCTAAAAGCTCAAATTTTTGACAATTCAATAGGTATATAGGTAAGTTCTCACCTTTAAGTTTCCTCCACACCATTCATGAAAATTTACAAAAGTTAAAAGCTTAAAATTTACAAAAGTTAAAAGCTTTTGACGAAAAATAGAGAGAATGTGTTGAAAAGAAAAGGCAAAATAAGTAGATTGTTCAATGAAAACAACTTCAACGATACCACCTAAAATTTTCCTTTAGTGCGCTAAAAA